TTTGAAAGCTAGCAATATCCTGCTTGATAATAGTATGAACCCTAAGATTTCAGACTTTGGCCTCGCTAAAACATTTGGTGGTGATCAGAGTCAGGGTAATACAAAAAGAGTGGTTGGAACGTAGTAAGTATATTTAATATGGTTACATTTTATGTTGTGCTGTTTTTGTTGAATTTCTTACTCACTGCAATTTGATTGTGCAGTGGTTACATGTCTCCTGAATATGCAGTTGATGGAATTTTCTTGATGAAATCTGATGTCTTTAGCGTTGGAGTTATACTGCTAGAGATGTTGAGTAGGCAAAAGAACATGGGATTTTCTCACCCAGATCACCACCTTAACCTTCTTGGACATGTTAGTATAAAGCATTAAGTACTATCATTTTACTTTGAAGAAACTAGTGAATTAGACGGTGCAATCTTCGAAGCACCTCCTTGAATTTAATGACATGCCATATATGCCTAATAACATATATCATATGTGTTTCAATTTTTTAGGCATGGACACTATGGAATCAAGAGAAACCATTGGAACTGATTGATAAGACATTAAGTGATTCATGCATCATATCTGAAGTTCTAAGGTGTATTCATGTCGGGCTGTTATGTGTGCAAAGAGTACCTGAAGATAGACCAAGCATGTCATCTGTGGTTCTGATGTTGAGCAGTGATATTACCTTGCCTCCACCAAAGCAGCCTGGTTTTTACACTGAACGAAGTGTCCCCGGATCACCATCATGGATGCCCCCATGTTCAGCGGATAATTTCATTACAATGGTAGAGGGACGGTAGATCATGATTCTGGTGCTTGTTCATGCTTCTCTCTACCATCACTACTGGATATGGCTGGTTGTCTACAACCTTAGCAGGAAAACTATGACCTGAGATTATCTATATTATGCAAGAAAGAAGTGATTGAATTAAAGTTTGTTTGGAGCAGTTCCTACCGCACAACAAAGAAAGGATTTGGGGTTTTTGGGTTGTTGAAGAAAACCAACCAAGAGTGGCCCAGTGGTTTGTCCGCCATTTGGTTAAGGCTCTTGGGTTCAGTTGGGTTTGCTCCCCAGTTCGAGTCCTAGTAGTTACAACACGTGGTGGAAGGATAGGCTCTGATCTGCGAGTGGGGATTACTTGAGGTGGGCGCAATCTGGCCCGGACACCTCATGGTACTTACCAAAATAAAAGAAAAAGAAAATTTAACTATGGTCTTACTCCCCCTAGGTATATAAAACTGTCAGCTAACAAGCAGAAAATATGTGAATTGCTAACAATGTAAGAGAATTCATCCATTTGGGTAATTTTATGTTTTATGTTTGTTGAATTCAAATTGGGTTTTCCATAAGTTATCAGTTTTGAGTTTTTCCCAATTGGCTGGTCCGTTGTCAGTTTTGTTTGTATTGTTACAGTAAACAGTGATAAGAATAATATTTCTTTTCATTGTTTCTTTATATATAATAATAAGATCGAATTTAATTGAGAAGTAAAGTATTTCATATATTGGCACACAGACGCTTTAGGAAATATATACAAGCAGAAGATTATCGGCAACACTTTGCCAAAGAAACAGAGTACTTATTATACAGATGCTACGAAATTAAGCAGAATATATACAACTATAGTTTGATAAGGTTTTTTTGTCATTGTATTTATCTTAGTTGAATTTCTGTTGAGCTTGAGCTGAGCTAATCCTTGACCCCAGCTAACTGCTAAGGTTGTGATAGGAAAAACAAGCTTGCTTGGAAATATTATTTCCAGAGCTCAAATTGTTATGGGCAGAGCAAGTATGCATGTGAAGGTTGTACCTAATATAGGAGGATTGCATTGCACTGGCATGCAATAGTTTCTGCACTAGAAGTAATGTTTTCAAAGAAAAAGCTTTCGTTCTTCAATATTAATCCATTTTATGATTTTAAGTGTTTTTCATTCTGCTTGGCAATCACAAACATGACTGACTCGTTTACTCATCCTGGCTTTGAATTGGGCCATTGAAGCACTCAAAGTGTAAAGCTTTATGGATTTATGTTGTCCATGCTCGCCAGTCTGGTTCAGGAATTTGGTCGAACATGTGGGGTAGCTTTCAAATCATGGATAAATACTCTTTTAACCATTTGATAAGGTTTTCAATGTGGTCCTGAATTTACATTTCCTTGGTTGACAGAAAAATGTGAGAGAAAAACTTATGTGACTTTTTCATGTGTGTTCAAAGCAAAAACATTAGAAACGAACTGATGATGCAGTGTGAATATGTTCAAGTTTTGATCAGTTTTGTCAACAAATGAGTCATTTTCGTATCTTTCTAAAAGAAAATATAAAAAAATACGAAAGTCATAGCAACGGTTTGTCTAGTAGACAAAATTTTAGTCATGGTAAGGCTTCTCGACAATCTATTTCTTTTGTTTTAGTCAATTTATGGGTTGTCAGCTTCACTGAGTCTTCCCCTTGTGACCAACATGTGTATTAATCTATGAGTTTCTTTTGCTGAGACCACGTTGCCGTCATTGAAGAAATCCAAGCTTATCAAAAAGACTTAATAGCCTTGAAACTTGACACAGAGGTTGAAGGAAGAAAGCCATAATCATATTTATAGTTGTCAATACTAGACATATTGCATCTTAAATTTCAAGGTGGACAGAGAAAGTAAGGTCTTTTGGGGCTTACTTTTAATTAGTATCAATAGAGACCTAAGAAAGCAATCGAACGATTGAGATCTTCCAATTTACTTCTTCCAACTTCTCTGCATATATGTTATGCATTGCTTTTTTTTTTTTTTTCACTAAAGTTATGCATTCTGATCAGAATATCGCCTTGAGAACCCTTTTTGTGTGCTCGTTATTTTTCTCCTTCGTGAGAACCTCCACTACCAATACACTAGACACTATCTCTCCAAATCAATATATTAGAGATGATCAAACTCTAGTTTCAGCTGGTGGAACCTTTCAACTGGGATTCTTCAGCCCTGGTAAATTGACAGGCCGATACCTGGGGATATGGTACACTATTTCTAATGAGGTAGTAGTATGGGTAGCCAACCGAGAAACACCACTTGATGATTCTTCAGGAGTTTTAAAGGTCACTGATCAAGGAGTTCTAGTCCTTCTCAATAGCTCAAACGGCATTGTATGGTCATCTAACTCATCAAGAACTGTAGATAATCCAGTATCACAACTATTGGATTCGGGAAATCTTGTTGTGAAAGATGCCAACGAAACCAACCCTGATAACTTCTTGTGGCAGAGTTTTGATTATCCTTGTGATACATTCCTACCAGAAATGAAGCTTGGATGGGACTTCGTTATTGGTTTAGAAAGGTATGTTTCGTCTTGGAAGAGCACAGAAGATCCTGCTCGAGGAGAGTTTTCACTAAGGATGACTCCTCATGGTTTACCACAACTTGTTGTTATGAAGGGAGATAAGATACAAACTAGATCAGGTTCATGGAACGGCGTTCAATTAACAGGAGCTATGAGACGATCAAGCCCATCTGAGTTTGCGTTCTTCTTAAATAAGGATGAGGTTTATTATGAGTACAGACTCCTAAACAGGTCTATTCCCTCAAGATATGTATTGACCCCATCTGGCATTGCACAGTGGTTCATATGGATTGAAAATACGTATAGTTGGGAACCCTTCTTTCAAACCCAACAAGATGAGTGTGAAATTTATGCCTTCTGTGGTGCATATTCTAGCTGCAACACCCGTGATGCTCCCGTATGTGCATGCTTGAAGGGATTTATACCAAAATTAACAGAACATTGGAATTCACAAAATTGGTCTGATGGGTGTATACGAAATACTCCATTAGCTTGCAGCTATAAAGATAAGTTCTTTAAATACACTAGCTTTAAATTGCCAGACACATCTTCCTCATGGTTTGATAAGAGCATGAGCCTCAACGAATGCAAGAGATTATGTTTGGAAAACTGCTCATGTACGGCATATGCAAATTTAGATATCAGGGATGGAGGAAGTGGCTGCTTGCTTTGGTTTGGAGACCTCACTGACATAAGAACCTTCCAATCTGATTCTCAAGACCTCTATATACGGGTGGCTTCTTCAGAACTAGGTAGCTTTTAGAATTTTGTCTGATCTTACTTTTGTTCTTCTTTCCAACAGTAGATAACATTATCACTTATTTTCTGAGGTCAGGGGAAATGAGTTATTTTTTGTCTTTATTTTTTATTTTTGGAGTGGGTTGAGGAGGTAGTAGTTATAAGCAGGTCGGTAAAACTAGAGCATTTTCTATATCCGGACCATAATCATGGACAGATACTTGTTCCTCTACCCAAAAGTAATACCATGAAAACCAGAAGTGTTGGTTGTCTCAGCTGTAGGCCATGGTGCTTAATCTGCTGTAGGCCATAATCACGATGCTCTGGGCTCTGGTTTCATATGGTGGGACACTGCACCTTCTTTTATTTTGTCTTTTTGTCATCGGGACTGGCTGGGCATGCCCAATTACCATTTTACTTAGTCTCTTTTTGTTTACTCTTTCAGAGCTTTGGTTTCTTGGGTCAGCATGTTGATGTGCCTTTGTATCACTGTCTTTCTTTTCTGCAGGGTTAGGTCCCCTCTGCTATTCTTGTTTTCTTTATGTTTCTTGTCTATTAATAAAATTATGATCAAGGGGACGGCTGGGGCTCCCGAAATGTGTTGATCCCCTCTTTGAAGGTTGTGGATGTTTGTGCATGAGCTAATCTGGCATAATCCATTGTTTTATTTATAAAAAAAGTAATATTAGAATCTCAATTAACTTCAACATGAAAAATTGCTCCCCAAATGACGTGCTTGTTATATTACACTTGTGATCTTTCAGATGATATTGAGAAGAAGAGCAAGTTCAAGAAGAAAAGGCAAGCAGGAGTTGTAATCAGCTCCGTACTTTTTCTAGTGGTAATGCTAATAGCGGGGTTTATCTTGTATATACGAAAGAAGAAACTCAGAAATCAAGGTACATTTCTCAGACATGGACTTAATCATGTTAAATAGACGATTGCAAGATTCTGGCACAAAACACTAAATCAAAAGTATTTTTACTATAAAAAATTCATTTGATAGGGGTTAGCATTAATTTCATCAGCGCAACTGTCCACATCTAGCTGAAGAGATCTCCTACTGTTTCAGCATTAAGAAAAAAGGATGACCTTGGAGAAGACGGGGAAGACAGAGAGTTGCCACTATTTGACTTCAACACAATAGTTCATGCCACTAATGGCTTTTCAAGCAGAAACAAGCTGGGAGAAGGTGGTTTTGGACCAGTATACCAGGTAAGATAAAGTAATTCAACTAAAACTAGATTACTTTTGCGTCAAGTTGGCTTTTCTGAATGATGATCCATTCCATAGGGTACATTGATAGGAGGGAAAGAAATTGCAGTAAAGAGGCTTTCAAAGGATTCTGGACAAGGAATGAGGGAGTTCAAAAATGAAGTTATACTGATAGCCAAACTTCAGCACCGCAATCTTGTAAAGCTTCTTGGTTGTTGCACTCAAGATGATGAAAAAATCTTAATATATGAATTCATGGCCAACAGAAGTTTGGATTTCTATATTTTTGGTAGGTTCCTCTCCCAACTCAACCACATAGCTTTTGAATCCTATCATCCTCCCCTTATGTACTTATTATTTAACGTGGTACTGAACTAATTAACATGCTAAAAAAATTTCAGACCAGGAAAGAGCGAAATTGCTCGACTGGCCTAAGTGTTTCCACATTATTGATGGAATTGCTCGAGGACTTCTTTATCTTCACCAAGACTCTAGATTAAGGATTATCCATAGAGATCTGAAAGCTAGCAATATTTTGCTTGATAATGATATGAACCCAAAGATTTCTGACTTTGGCCTGGCCAGAATATTTGGTGCCGATCAAAGTCGGGGTAATACAAAAAGAGTGGTTGGAACATAGTAAGTAAGGCTTGAACTTATTTTATGGTTGAATTTTTCGTTCTGCTGTTTCTGAAATTCTTTCTTACTCCAATTTCATTTCCCAGTGGTTATATGCCCCCTGAATATGCAGTAGATGGAATTTTCTCGATGAAATCAGATGTATTTAGCTTCGGTGTTGTACTGCTAGAGATATTGAGTAGGCAGAAGAACAGAGGATTTTGGCATCCAGATCACCATCTTAACCTTCTTGGACATGTAAGTACAAAAACTATTTTATTTTGTTGGTGCAATCCTTTAAGTACCTCCTCCAATGGCCTGCCATTTAAAGTATACTATTATATAGAGGGTATGCAAGTAACAATTCTCCTTTTGTTATGTACATAGAGGGATAGGGACATGAAACCTAACCTGCTAACATAACAAATGTCTTAATATGTTTTAGGCATGGACACTATGGATCCAAAATATTCCACTGGAACTGATTGATAAGTCGCTAAGCGATTCGTGCACCATATCTGAAGTGTTACGGTGTCTTCATGTGGCTCTATTATGCGTGCAACAAGTACCTGAAGATAGACCAAGCATGTCATCTGTGGTTCTAATGCTGAGCAGTGAGGTTGCATTGCCTCCACCAAAGCAGCCTGGTTTTTACACCGAACGGACTCTACCTGATGATCTGTCACGGGTGCGTGATTTGTCAGAAAATAATTTCAGCACTACATTGTTAGAGGCTCGGTAGATGATCTTCAATCTGTCTGGTGCCTATTAATGCTCCTGTGTACCGTCACCAAAATGTGTTCGGCATGTAAGCTTGACTTGAACCTTGTAGGCTTAGATGCGAAACATTGACTTAAGATTATTCATGTTGTGCACCACACATGTTATTGAGTTCTTCATATGGCACAAACAAAAAAATTTGGGATTGTGGTAGAAACTTTTAAGGAACTATAGGCTTGCTGTTATTTTTCTTAGCTCTGTTTTGCTCCCCCAGAGAATTTGTCTAGATTTGTATTTTTATGTCACAGGTTTATTGTTTTTGTTGATATAAAATCATGTAATGGGGAGCAACTGGTGCCAATGATTGGTTGATTCCCGAGTATTTTACTGTCTTAATTAAAGAACCGAAATATTTATAAAAAAAATCTATGCAATTAAAAAATATTGATGCTATATATGGCATAATAATCCAACCCTAGAAGTAGAGCACCAGATCTCAGCCAAAAAAAAAAAAAAAAAACTCAAGAACAGCAGACAAACAAAAGTACCGAGCTACAGAATTGTTAGCTCAGCAGCAAGTAACACATTGTGAGAAATTTAAAGAGCAGAGCAGACTTATTGAACGTAGTTAGTTCGAAATTTGCCAAGCGCTCAAAGTGTAAAGCTTTATGGATTCATGTTGTCCATGCTCGCCAGTCTGGTTCAGGAATTTGGTCGAACACGTGACGGGCATGTCGCAAATTCTCGGAATTACAGTAAAATTACAAGAACCTAAGGCTCAGGTGAGATGAGAGATGTTGATGGGTAGCTTTTAAATCATGGATAAATACTCTTTTAACCATTTGATAAGGTTTTCAATGTGGTCTGAATTTACATTTCCTTGGTTGACAGAAAAATGTGAGAGAAAAACTTATGCGACTTTTTCATGTGTGTTCAAAGCAAAAACATTAGAAACGAACTGATGATGCACTGTGAATATGTTCAAGTTTTGTTCAGTTTTGTCAACCAATGAGTCTTTTTCGTATCTTTCTAAAAGAATATGCAAGTTGAATTAAACATGGCGACTCTTTGTTATTGCTGTTCGCATACAGAAAATATAAAAGTCATAACAACGGTTTGTCTACTAGACAAAATTTTAGTCTTGGTAGATACTAGTATATTACACATATGATTGAATGCTGATTTAATTTTATTGTGACTTTATTAGCTTTGTTGAATTTCAGATTTTGATGACACCAGCTGACTGCTGAGCTCATCTTTTTCATATGAACAAGGTTGTGATGGGAAAAACAAAAGCTTGCTTGGAACCATTATTTCCAAAGCTGAAATTGTTATGGGCAGAGCAAGTATGCATGTGAAGGTTGTACTTAACATAGGTGGATTGCATCGCTCTGGCATGCAACAGTTTCTGCTCTAGAAGTAATGTTTTCGAAGAAAAAGCTTTCATTTTTCAACATTAATCGAATTTTCGATTTCAAGTTTTGTCATATCACAAACATGACTGAGTCGTTTACTTGTCCTGGCTTTGAATTGGGCCATTGAAGCACAGGACCTGACATGATGGTGATCTTAGATGTTGAGGTTGGAATGATCAATATGTTTACTGAAAGACGTTGGATTTTCAGAGACACAAGTGAAGCTTCATGGAAGCTGGGGGAGAGGTCTTTTTCTTGCTCGGTAAGGCTTCTCTACAATCTATTTCTTTTGTTTTAGTCAATTTATGGGTAGTCAACTTCACTGAGTCTTCCTCTTGTGACCAACATGTGTATTAATTTATGAGTTTCTTTTGCTGAGACCAAGTTTTTTTTAAACCAAGTTGCCCTGTCATTGAAGAAATCCAAGCCTAACAAAAGACTTAATAGCCCTGAAACTTGACACAGAGGTTGAAGGAAGAAAGCCATAATCATATTAATAGTTGTCACGAAAAAAAGACAAACATTCCCACCAAAAAAAGAAGAAAAAAAAATTTGAACTTTTAGATTAATTTACTGTGAAATTTCTCTCTTTTCAATATTTGTTTTTTATACGAATTATAAACTAATACAAGTAGGCCACAAAATTTCAAAATTGCTAGGGCAGCCTTTTATTTATTTATTAATAAATAGTATAGCCGCTTGGCTATACGTTGAAAATATAATGTATTTAAAGAGTATAGCAGCCCGGCTATACTGGGGTTTTTTTTTCATTTTATTGATTACGAGTATAGTCGCTCGGCTACATGCTTTGAATGTATAGCCGGGCGGCTGTACTTGGCGCTTTAAAAAAAAATTAAATAAATATGTGGCCGGGCGGCTATACTTTTTTAATATAGACTTGGATATATTTTTTAATATATACTTGGATCTTTCCCTTGAAGATTCTATCTAGGTATCCCGATGGAAGACAAGAGGATGGCATAGAGGTTTGGCTGCATTGGTGGAATAGAGGCATACATTACCATGGAGGAGGAAGTCATGACTAAATTTGAAATTGATCCCTTTCTTCAGAGACCAGTGGGCATGGACCGGTTTGATTCTATAGGTTCAAACTTAGCCCATTAATCAGCCCAATTGCACCAGGTTGTGAATTTTCACACCCGAAATCCATCGAGTCTAATTATAAAAAAAAATCGATCCAAACCAAACCAATGATACTCGGGTCGGGTTCGGTTGTATTCAGTTTATTTCTCAAGCTATTAAAAACAATAAAGGCTAAAATTTATGCCTACCTCATTGTAATTTCTTTTCTTATTATCAATAAATTTGTCTTTCATTGGGAAAGTGATAGAGACCAAACATATCCCGAAATGTTAAGGTATATCTTCATCTGGGTCTGTTTACCATCACAAAATGTGTTTGGCAGGTAATATTGACTTGAACCTTATAGGCTTTGCAGGGAAACAATGATAGTTGAGATTTATTCATATTTTAGGGTTGTTGAGTTGTGTTGTGGGGTTGTTTTTAAGGATTCGCGGTCGTTGAGGTGTGGAAGAAAATTTAAGGGGCAGGTATAGGCTTTGCCATTTTCCACTTGATTAGATCTCGTCAGCTCTATTATTTGTTTTATTTTAATTCTCACAGATGGCCAATAATATAATTATCTTAATAGTGGTCACTTATTGAGTTATTATTAATTATTTATCTGCCTGGTGCTACATTAAAAAAAGACCTATAGTGTGGGATAAATCCCATGACAGCACACAGAAGTGAGAACCACAATCAATAGATAATGAACGTTGAAGTGGAAATAATCTCCAAGGAGATCATCTGTTAGAGTTTGAGGATCTTAGAATATGATTTGGAGAGAAGAGAGAAGAGAGAAGAGAGATGAAATCCAAGATTGCTCTGCTATACGTGTAGCAGAGAGAACATTCTCATTTCTCAGTGTTCAGTACAATATCTCACACTCTTGGTGTGAGAAGAATATAGTCGTTAGCATAGTACCAGCTGGATGCAATTCATCTATGCAATCTCAGCCATTCACTATCTAACCAATCAAGCTATGACACCTGGACTAAGTATAAAGAAATACAACTAAGCTGAAAACAAAACTCCTAATCCTGAAATCAACTTAAGCACTTATAATTCAACACTCCCCTTTAAGTCTTGAGGTGATTTCACTCCAAGCATGCCTCTGAGATAATTGAATCTGTCTTTGGCCAGAGGTTTGGTAAAAATGTCAGCCAATTGTTCATTTGTAGGACAGTATTCCAAATTGATTACTCCTTCTTGCAATGCATCCTTGATGAAGTGATACCTCCTGTCAATATGCTTTGTCTTCTGGTGGAATACAGGGTTTTTAGTGATTGCAATTGCTGATATATTATCACAATGCAATGGAGTAGCTTCAGTTTGAAGCTCTCCAAAGTCTTCTAGCACAAAACGGAGCCAAATAGCTTGAGTAGTAGCCTCAGCTGCACTGATATACTCAGCTTCAGCAGTAGACAGTGCAACACAGTTCTGTTTTACTGAGGCCCAAGAAAATACTCCACTTCCAAAACTAAAAGCATACCCTGATGTGCTCTTGCAATCACCAACTGATCCTCCCCAATCACTGTCACAGTAACCAACTAGAATTGATCTTTTGCCTTTCACATATTCAAGACCATAGTCCAGAGTTCCTTTGATGTATCTCAAAACTCTTTTAGCTGTTCCATAGTGTCTATTTGTAGGACAGTGCATGAATCTAGCTAGCAAGCTTGAGGCATACATAATGTCTGGTCTTGTAGCAGTTAAGTACAATAAGCTACCAACAATGCTTCTGTATTGTTCTTCATTTGCAGCTCCACTCCCATCATCCTTAGCTAGTTTCTCAGTGGCAACAAGAGGTGTTGTCACAGATTTGCACTCAGTCAAACCAAACTTGCTCAACAAGGTGCTAGCATATTTCTTTTGATGTAGAAATATACTAGACACAGTCTGCACAACTCCCATGCCGAGGAAATGGTGAAGTAAACCCAAATCAGTCATCTCATACTTAGCCATCATGTCTTCTTTGAATTCAGCCAACAATGCTTGACTGCTCCCTGTGTACACTATGTCATCTACATAGATAGACACAATTAGAATCTCCTTATCTCCCCTCACTTTGGTATACAAAGTTGCTTCACTTAAGCTTTTCACAAAACCACAGTGAGTGAAGTAGCTGTCTATCTCTCCATACCAAGCCCTTGGGGCTTGCTTCAGACCATAAAGAGCTTTATGCAGACGATAAACCTTGTCTTCTTTGCCTTTAATTACAAAACCTTCAGGCTGACTGACATAAACTTCCTCTTGCAGCACACCATTAAGGAAAGCAGACTTCACATCAAGCTGGAACAATTTCCAATCCTTTTGAGCAGCTAGAGCAACAAGAGTTCTAATGGTGTCCAATCTGGCTACAGGTGCATAAGTCTCATTATAATCCAGTCCAGGCTTCTGAGCATACCCCTTAGCCACTAATCTTGCTTTATTCTTTTGCACAGAGCCATCCAAATTCAGCTTTGTCTTGTACACCCACTTAACTCCAATCACTGGTTTTTCAGTTGGTCTATTTACCAATTCCCATGTTTCATTTTTTTCAATCATCTGCAGTTCATCTTCCATAGCCTTAAGCCAAGATTCATCCTGAGCA